GTGTCCTAGACCCCCTGGCTGGGTGTCTTCTTCCGCAGCTTTCATCCCTCGCCTCCGTCGCCCTGACCCTCCCTCAGTCTCGGCAAGCCGAGGGCCCAACTTGAGAATCGTGCTTTTTGAGTGAAGGAAAAATGGGGTTGTGTGTTTATGTGAAGGAATAAACAAGTGTATACTCGCATAATGTGGGTAAACGAAAAAAGTAGCGCCCAATTCGTCTACGTACGGCTTAGTGAGTGGTTGGGGTGGCCTCAGGCATCCCCAAGGGAGCCTCTGCGGTGCCACATAAGCAGCTTAGTGATTGTCGAGACTTAAAGTGTTTCGTTTGAAGAAACGCAAACCTTACAGACGGTACTATGGTCACCAGTAAACGAAAATTCGACTTTGAGGGATCATATCTCAAAAAGCCGGGAGATAGCATCGCATTATTGTTGCATATTATGCCACATAAGGTCAAACTTGACCCCAGAAGCATCAAGAACCCGATGCTCCGGCTCGACTGTGCCGGCACACTGCCTCCTCGCGCACGCTGCTAGCAGGCCGTTGCGGCCCGTGGTGCACCAGAGAGAGAGGTCGACGCGTTGCCCCCGCCGGCGACCCCGCGCGGCTCAGGCCAGCCAGAAGGTGTGTGGTGACGGCACCGTGGCAGGAGTGCGGAGAAGAGCTCGCCGAACGCGAGCAGCAGATGGCCAAAGTGTGCCAGCGCGAGAGCCTCGCGAGCGGGCGCAGAAGGAGCTCGCCGTGACACGATGCCGGGCGGTGGTGGTGCTCTGGCGACTGTGCACAGTGGGCAAAGTCAGGCTGCAACAGGGCAGCACGTTGGTAGTGCCCTGCTGCAGCCTGGCCTGACATGCACAGGGCGAACAGAGGCGGTACTATCGTCCGGCGCTCGTCACCGAATCTGGGCCAACTTCGACCGCCGCCACAGCTCGCCACGAGCACGCAGCGACAAAATGTTGACTGTATGGAAGTCGAGGCTGGTCCATAGGAAGAGGCTGCCGTGCGAGCCGGCAGCAGGCTGGCTCGTCGTGGACTGGCGGCGACTTTTTTCGGTGTCTTTCTTGATAGTACCGAATACGGTACTTTCGTTTACCCACATTCTGCGAGTATTGCTTGTGTCATTTTTCTGGCGCGTCACCTGGAAGTCTGCACCACCAAGGCAGAGAGCCTGCTATCGTAGCCACCCACCGCCCTTTGCTGCGCGGCGGCCGTCAGCCTCTCGCGCCTCTCCCAGCCAGACCGCCGCGCCGCGCGCCTGTGCCGCGCGTGGTCACCCCGTGAGCTGGGCCGCCGCAGCCACCGCGGCCGCTGCGCAGACCTGCGTAATCGGCACTGCGTCCGCTGCTGCTGAGTAGTGCAGTCGGAGCCCTCCCTCACGGCACCTGCGTCGCCGCGGCGCAGGCCTCCTGTCAGCATGCCGGATACCGGCACTGTCAAATGGTTCAACTCGCAAAAGGGCTTCGGCTTCATCACGCCCGACAGCGGCGGTGAGGATCTCTTCGTCCACCAATCGGCGATCCACGCAGAGGGCTTCCGCTCGCTCGGCGAGGGCGAGAAGATCGAGTATGTGCCGGTGGAGGAGGACGGCAAGATGAAGGCCACCAATGTCACGGGCCCGCATGGAAACTATGTCAAGGGCGACAACGGCGGCGGCGGCGGCGGTGGCCGAGGCGGCCAGGCGAAGCCGCGCGCTTGGCCCGAGGGCGTTGAGCCGTCGGATGGCAAACAGATCGGAAAGGTCAAGTGGTTCAACAGCGAGAAGGGGTTTGGCTTCATCGCGCCGCGCAGCGGGGAGGACGACCTCTTTGTGCACCAGTCGGCAATCTCCGCGCCCGGCTTCCGCTCGCTGAT